CAGAGGCTAGAAATGAGCAGCAAAAAGAGCTCATACAAGCCAAGAAAATCAGACAGGTTTGTTAGTCAGATTCCAAATCCCAACTTGCTGATTGTCTGACAAAAAAGGGAGTTTCACCTTTAACCCTCCTAAAAGCACTAGACGAAGGACTCTGGATACTGTGATCCTTTGTTTACTAAGTTTTCTTTGCATTAAAATGCACTATTGTTTATTTTGTGCAGTGATAGTATGCTTTAAGTAAAGTGAAGTACATTGAAATGTTTTCTGAATGTTCAACAATGTTGACAATTTTTTTGTTTACATATATATTTATGCAAATGTTTTAAAGAGGTGTTTATACTTTTATTTTAAAAAAGAAAGAGGGAGATCGTTAACTTGTTATTTTCTGTTATATCGCGAGAGTACTGTTGCCTGTGAGGAGTTGTTGTTTTTGTGTACGTGGTGTATGATGGCGTAAAGAATAAAGCGCTTGGAGTGAGACTACGACGTGTCTTTTGACTTTACAATCTGTATGTCAAATCATGGGCGAGATACTAACATGAAGTTTCTCTCTGATACGTCCATTGGAGTTTGAATGTTAAAGCACTTAAGCATGGAAAAGAGTCCTTGTGTGAATGAGATAAGTATAAAGTACTTTGAGCGCTCAAGTAGAATAGAAAAGAGCTATATAAGAACCAGTGGAAAACCTAGTTTATGCGTTTATTACTTCTGGCCTGGACTATTGTATGTCACTATTATAAGGATGTCTTAAAAACATTTAATCCAAAATGTTGCAGCCAGAGTATATCTTTGTTTCCTCATTTCAAGGACATTGAAGTGCCTCCCCAAGAGTGTAAACATTTATCCACTCTCTCTGTCAGAGTTTTTTGTTAACATGAATGTTCAAGATGTTCAATAAACATGTGAAGTGCATATATTTTCCCTTTTTTCTCCAGTCTGTTTGCTCATGCAAAATGAAATGTGATTTATATAGAATAAAAATGAATGATATTTAATTATGATTAATCAAAATTAATGCACAGTAACCCTGTGATGAATCTGATTAAACGTTTTAACTGTTTGACAGCACTAATATAATATATATTAGTGCTGTCAAACAGTTAAAACGTATATATTATATATTTGTGTATACTTTTTTTTTTTAAGTTGCATTTCACAGGAGAGAACCTGTGCTAAAAGATCTAAGAAAACTATTCAAATTCTCTTTGAATTTAAGCATACATTCTTTGTGTTTATTCTGCATTTACTTCCTTATATTGCATAAATGTCAGTTACAAGCTTAAATATAAAGTTAAAAAAATATAACTGCAACCATGCTCTTGATCAAGTAATTGTGATTAATTGTAGAAAATTGTGAGATTAATTAGGGTTTTTTTTTTAGATTTTTTCAAATCTATTCACAGCACTAGTTTTTAGAATTAATGAATCAATATCGCATTATTCAAACTAAAATCGATTTAAATCAGGAAATTGACTTTATAAAGCCAAGAGTTGGAACACCTCTAGGAATCAGTAGCACCAACTTTCAATAGATTAATATAAGATACGATGGGTCCTGATTATTCAAGACCTTGTATGTAAGGAGAAGGATTTTAAACTAATCCTGGATTTAAGAGGGAGCTAATGAAGAAAAGCCAGGATAGGAGAAATATGCTTTCTCTAGTCTGTCAGTATTCTTGCTGCTACATTTTGGATGAACCAAAGCCTTTTCAGGATATTTTTGTGGCAGCCTCATAATAATGAATTACAGTAGTCCAGCCTAGAAATAATAAACGTATAAACTAGTTTTTCAGCATCCCTGAGACAGGATGTTTCTAATTTTAGAGATATTGCAAAAATGGAAGAAAGTGTTCCTAGGCATTTGTTTAATATGCGCATTGTAGGAAAAAAAACAACTTCAAGATTCCTCATTGTTACTGGAGGTTAAAGTAATGCCAACCAAAGTAAGCATCTGGTTAGATGCCATACTCCTAAGAGATCTTTTATGCCTAAGAATAATACAATAATCTCAGTTTTATCTGAATTCAGAAACAGAAAATTAGAGGTCATCAAGGTCATTCCCACAAAACATGGGATGTATCAGATAGATACGCGGATCATTTCTATATTGGGTCCGTTGCTCCATGACCAATTCTGGACATAAGTTTTCTAAACTAGGCCCACAATTTGGACATCCAACCATGACCCAACCTGGTTGTCAATATGATGTTCAATTTAAGATATGTCTGGAAGACATATCTGATTTCCTGGCTGCTTGGGACGATCTGCGTGTTTGGGCGTGCTCTCTGCAATATCAAATGTGGAGCTACCCAGTGTGGTAGTTCCACACTGAGTAGCTTGTGAATAAGGTAGCAACCACATGAAAATTGTTCTGCTGAGGAAATATGTTTTAATTTTGTAGTGATCTCTGTGTAGAAATGTGACAAAAAACTGCAACATCTCAGTTAAGGTTGGTTTCAATAAAATATGAGTATTACTATAGAGGAACAGAAAGGGACTTAAACATGCAAGGTGAGGACTCAATGAAGAGTTACAGGGCAGGGTCGAATTTTTGGACTATGTTCAAAGCATTGCACCATCTGCCTGGGACTATTATGCACTTGTTCTGAAAACATTTCCCACTCTCATTCCCAATAAATAAAACACCTCAAATGTCACTAGCCCCATATACTATATATACAAAACGTTTGTAGGTTTAACACTAAACAGAAAAATAGTACGTTTAACACTAATCTTCATAAATCATATTTATATGAGTGATTGAAATACTCTTCCCCCCAAATTTTGTGCTATGAAAGGGACACTCCTTATGGAAAAAGCCCAGCCACAAAATATATCTGTCCATGCTTTTCAGCTAATCTTTACTGTTTTTCCATTCTCTATTCTATTCTATTCTCTTCTGAGTTGTACCAAGAATCTGGTCTTCTCTGATTCAATGCTTGTTTTTTCAAAGGGACCAACAGTATTGAGTGTCATACACAGTGAGGCTGCAGCACTGTCAACAAGATAGCTGACTTGTGTGGGAATTGTAGGTAGGTGTCCTCTACTGTAATGGTACATGAAATGCAAGTAAATAATAGGTTCATGACTTTCTTAGATGTGGTTACAGCACTTTTGATATAAAATGTAATAACATTTCTCAAAAAGTAACAAAAAAAATGGTAGGAGCAAAGAAGATTTGAAGAAGTACTATTAAATGTTTATTTTCTGTATGCCAGAAAAGTGTAATTAAAATAATGAATGGGTTTATTTATATTTGAGAGAAGTCAGTTGACTCTATTAATAAATTAAATGTTTCAATGAAGCTGCCCTTGTCAACATCTTTATCAATAGCCACACACTGTAATGACTGTAGCAGGCTTTGTGTTGGTTCACCTGATTTGAGGAAACTTGACACAACACAGGGGCGTTCAGCTTGGTGCAACACCATTTCTTTTTAGTTCTTTTTTTTATTTCCCTTTGCATTTTCAGCTGGTTACTTTAGATGTTGCTTACTATACTATCTCTGTGAAGGTTCTCAGTCATCCAGGTCATCGTAGTCAAAGGAGCTTGCAAAGAAAAGCGTCTGGACTTCTTTAAGTTACTTGAAGACGTTTCACCTCTCATCCGAGAGGCTTCTTCAGTTCGTTTGACCTTAGTTTGACCTTAGAACTGAAGAAGCCTCTCGGATGAGAGGTGAAACGTCTTCAAGTAACTTAAAGAAGTCCAGACGCTTTTCTTTGCAAGCTCCTTTGATTACTATACTATCGTTCTCAAAGACAGGGGGAGGCATAATTAAGCAACTGGCCACAGCTGCATTTCTGCATCAGATCTACGTCATAACTTAAGCCATAACTGGGAGTCCCATTTTAACCCTTCGCCACAAGCTTCTACGTAGCCTGGTGTGCAACTCTTGAGAAATGTAACTACATGTCGGTTTGATGCATACCACAACAATTGGAATGTAACGTTGCAATATAGGGATTAAAAGGCGATTCTGGTTACCACCTAAGTTTGGATGTAGATTTCCTGAGAAGTCTAAATCAAGCATTTAGGCCAGGGAGCCATCTGGCCTAGCCTACTGCTACCCCTGCTGCCACAAGTGGGAGAAAAAGAATCTGTGGCCGATTTTCTCTCCCACTCGATCACCTTGAATTTAATGAGGTGTAATGCCAGATATCAGCGGCTGATTCGCATCATTTATGCGATGGAGCCCTGAACAAAGGGTGAAAGGGCGTCCCAGGACATAATAACCCTAACCACAAGGCGGTTGACGCCCTGAGACAAAATCTGACAGTAACCCTTGGTCAAATCCAGCTTTGTGAAAAAACAAGCAGTGCCTAACCAGTCTAGAGGGAAGACCCGCCCCGAAGTCAGCATCAACCTAGCATCACCACTGAGTGCAGCACAGACACTACATGTCCCTACCTATTGTGAGCGCACCACTAAGCATTGTCCCACGAAGTTATCCTGCCTAATCCATTAATCTTAAAAGATTAGGGGTGGACAAGGTGATAGCTCTTGTTAGTAAGAGCAAAGGAACCTGCCATAGCACCCACTATTCCCTTGGCCACTGGTATGCCTTGGCTGTGTCTTTGATTAATACAATGGAAGGCTGCTGCCCCTCCCTTTCTGCTTGTGTTTAGAAGATAATGACAAAGTATGTGCAATTTGTGGGCGCAGTTGTAAATGGTACATGCACTAACATTCATACAGCACTTTTCTTGTCTGGTAACCACTGAAAGCACCCCTTACAGCACTTTATCAGATGCAAACTAACACTAATTGGTGGTGACAATTTTGTAATGTCTTGCTGAAGAACTCCTCAAGCAGGCTTGACTAGTAGGGGATTGGACCATTGACCTTCAGTCCCACAACCCTCTCAGGCTGTGATGTCTTTCCTTAATTGTAGTTTCATTTTAGTAGTTGGAATTGACTGCCTCAGTCCAAAGCAAGCGTTCCATTAGCAGTCATAAAGTATCCAATCCTTATTCAGACATTTCCTTTACATTTTTTTGCAGATGTTATTTCTCCTACACTCTTCAACCCTTACTTCCGGCGGCTGACTTTTGATGTGTCCTCTATGGAGAAGAATGCCTCCAACTTGGTGAAGGCAGAGCTCAGGATCTTCCGTCTTCAAAACCCTGGGGCCCAAGTGTCTGAGCAACGAATTGAGCTCTATCAGGTACAAACACTTTTGTCTGGAGTAACATTCATTATGCCATATTTCCTAAATATGAGTTGCTTTGTGTTTTATAAAGACTAGGAAGGATTGCTTAATATAATTTTAAAATGCAAAGATTTTTTACATTGCAAAAAAATATATTCTGATTTTTGTAGGTTCTTTTTCATAAACTTTGAAGATTCTTAATGATTAGTATAATGAGATTATCAGAATGGGAGCCCTGTGGAATTGTATAACTAACTTTTGTGTGTGGAAGTCTCATCATTTAAATTTTAAAAATTAATTAATCCAATAAATATGACTCAAATCACTGTAGTATAGTTTTCATTCCCAGTTGTTCCAGTGCAATTCAATTTTGCGATTACTGGTGTCAAAAGCAACAATGATCCAGCAGGACATGCATAGAGACAGTCCATTGTCTGGCGTCATTAGGAGATTGTCAGTAACTGACTGGACATTCGTTTTTGTGCTAACTGAAACTTTTCAAACAATTGATTCCTTTCCCAGACACAGGGATTTTAAAGGGCTTTATCAGTAAAAGGAATGTTGGTTGTAGGTCTAAAGCACTCAATTACACTCAACAAAAATATAAACACAACTTCTGTTTTTGCTCCAATTCTTCATGAGCTGAACTTAAAGATCTGAAACATTTTCGACATACACAAAGGACCCATTACTATCAAATATTGTTCACAAATCTGTCTAAATCTGTGTAAGTGAGAACTTCTCGTTTGCCGAAATAATCCATCCCATCTCACAGATGTGGCATGTCAAGGTGCTGATTAGAAAGCATGAATATTGCACAGGTGTGCCTTAGACTGCCGCAAATCAAAGGCCACTCTGAAATATGCAGTTTGATCACACAGCACAATGCTACAGATGTCGCAGCTTTTGAGGGAGTGTGCAATTGGCATGCTGACTGCAGGAATGTCTACCAGAACTGTTGTTTGTGAAATGAATGTTCATTTCTCTGCCATAAGCCATCTTCAAAAGCGTTTCAGAGAATTTGGCAGTACATCCAACCGGCCTCACAATCGCAGACCACATGTAACCACACCAGCCCAGGACCTCCACATCCGGCATGATCACGTCAACGTTGTGGATTGAGTGGCCCATGATGGCGGTGGGGTTATGGACAATGAACACAAGTGCATTTTATTGTTGGCATTTTGAATGCACAGAGATACCTTGTTGAGATCCTGAGGACCATTGTTGTGCCATTTATCCATGATCATAACCTCATGTTACAGCATGATAATGCACAGCCCCATATTGCAAGGATCTGTACACAATTCCTTGGAAGCTGAAAACATCCCAGTTCTTTCATGGCCAGCATACTCACCAGACATGTCACCCACTGATCATGTTTGGGACGCTCAGCTCGGCATATATGACAGCGTGTTCCAGTTCCTGCCAATATTCAGCAACTTTGCACAAGTACTGAAGAGGAGTTCACCAACATTCCACAGCCCACAATCAACAACCTGATCAACTCTATGCCCACTGCACACCATTTTTCTTACTGTGTGAGGCACCATTGTGAGACAAATGGTGGCCACACCAGATACTGACTGGTTTTAGGACATCTGTAGCATTGTGCTGTGTTATCAAACTGCATATTTCAGAGTGGCCTAAGGTGCACCTGTGCAATATTCATGCTACCTAATCAGCACCTTGACAATGCCACACCTGTAAGGTGGGATGGCTTATCTCGGCAAATGAGAAGTTCTCACATACACAGATTTAGACAGATTTGTGCACAATATTTGATAGTAATGGGTCCTTTCTGTATGTAGAAAATGTTTCAGATCTTTAAATTCAGCTCATGAAAAATTGGAGCAAAAACAAAAGTGTTGCGTTCACATTTTTGTTCAGTGAAAATACTTGATTACAGAAGGTCTAAAAGCCTGTGGTGTGCAGCCTGCTGTATGACCCTACTACCGTGTTTTTCGGACCATAAGGCGCACCGAATTATAAGGTGCACTGTCGATAAACGGGTCTGTTTTCATACATAAGGTGCACCAGATTATAAGGCGCATTAAGCGAAACAAAACATTCAGGTAAATCAAACTTTACTCAACTTATTCTTCTTGCTTCCTCCACTTCCGTACCATTGATTCATTAATGTTGAATTCTCTCACAGCTGATCTATTCCCATGTTGTTACAGTATATTAATGACTAACCTTGTGTTGTGGATGGATTATCTATACTCATCATTGAACAAGATGAAATTTTAGCTGGTGGTTCTACGCATGAATTCCATCAATGCTACATCAGATCGGACGTATGATGGGTGTAGGTGTTGGGCATGGCTCGATGCGCCGGGGTGCGAGGGCCCACTTAACGCTGCTTGCAGCTTTAATTTTAACTATTTATGTCTTGAGGATGTCGAATTCTAACGACCCTTAGCCCCACAGATGCCATCTGCAAACCTTTATAGACATACATAGGTCTAAAAAGACCTTTATAGGTAATTTTAGAAACCATTTACCAATATTTTTTGTAAATTGTTGGCCATGACTACAAGGCTACAAAATAAATTTATTTAAATTTTGGCACAGTTTTAGTATTAATGCAGGTATTTTATCCATCTTTTTATTATAGTGTAAATTAGTACTATTGAACAATCAACATTTAATTAATCAGAACTTTGACCTCACATTCCTTTAATTTGTCAACAGATTTTAGGATATAAAGATCTGACATCCCCAACACAGCGGTATATTGACAGCAAGGTAATACGAACACAAACAGAGGGGGAGTGGTTATCCTTTGATGTTACAGAGGCAGTTAGTGAATGGCTAAACCACAGAGGTGAGTACATTCTGTCCCATCAGTATTGCCTTTTCCCAATTGTTTATGCTTTGTGTTAATTAACTTCTCATTACTTTTGTTTTTCCGTAGACCGAAACAGTGGATTCAAGATCAGCCTGCACTGCCCATGCTGCACCTTTGTACCATCAAATAACTACATCATTCCTAATAAGAGTGAGGAGCTGGAGGCACGATTTGCAGGTTATTTGAAAAATGTTGCCTCAAGGCACTTTTATGTTGTAAGGTAGACCCTATAATAATAGTTCACACTAGAAAGCTGTTGTGGTTTGGCACCCCAGTACATCTTAGAATTAATCACCATCTACAACCCAGTCAGACCTCTCACATCATCAGGTTTAGATTTTTTAAATGATCCCAGAATCAGATCTCAGTCTGCTGAGGGTTATTTCAGTTACTGTTGTCCTGTTCTTTGGAACAAGCTGCCTGCTGACTTGAGATCAATTACATCTGTGCGTACATTCAGTAACAGATTCAAAACCTTTTTATTCACACACATTAATTAATAGGTGTTGTCATTTTGTTTTGTGCTATTTAGCCATTTTGACTGTGTCAAGGCATTGCAAATCTATGCAGGTTTTGTGTTCTGTGTTAAGTAGAGTACATGCAGTCATTATTTCTGTCTGACCCTCTCTCCCTTTAACAGAAATTTCACCTTTCTGTAAGCACTGGAGCTATGCTGATAATTTTACTCTGAATACTTTGATAATGTTTTTTTTTAATGAACTTTTCTGTCATTACCAGCCCTTGCGGTGCTGCTTATTAATCTCTTATGTTTTCAGGTATCGACGACAACCTAATCCATGGTCGTGACCTAAAGGTTTTTAGGAAGTGGCAGCACAGTGTTCGGGGTCCACATCTTCTCCTCATGTTGCTACCTTCATACCGCCTGGAGTCCCAGTCCCAACATAAGAACCATCGATCCAAGAGAGCTCTTGATGCTGCCTACTGCTCCAAGTACTTGTCTGAAAACCAAATTGCCAAATGCAAAGCAATAACAATGTCCCTATCTGTTGTGGAGATTTTCAGAAATTAGTCGTCAAGTAAAAAGGGGCCAAGCAACACTAATAGCACTAGGCAATGCACAGAATTGGTTGTCATTAGGTACAAAGATATAGAATAATGTTAACACTCTGACTTCTTGGCTAGAGCCCATAGTGATGTTAAAGGTGAGTGCGTGTTTTAACCCACAGCCCATCAACCAAAGCCTAAACTTCAACAAGTAACAAAAGGCACTGATCATGTTCATGTTTCTAAAGTAGAATCACCGTGGTGATTGGTTTAAGTCTCTTTGTGCTGGTTTTCATCTTTGCTTTGAGTTCATACATAAGTGTAAAAGGAAAAATATTATGTGTATCCTCATTAGGATAGGGTTTTGTGTTGATGTGTTGGATTGTACTCAGGTTTATATTGTTAACTGGTAATTATGTGACAATGCATTAATGTAACTTTAGTGTAACAAATGAGTTTCATTGTTACTTTTGAGTGATGACCCCTACGAAAGCTATTTTGTTCTTACCACTGTGCAATACTTCATAATGCCATGCAATCCTTATTTTAAATAAGTAAACATCTTTACCTCCAGGTGAAGGGGAAAAAGTAGCAACAGTGTTGTAAGAAAAAAAGTCTGTACCAGTTCAAGTCCAACTGAAGAAACTGGAACAATTTTGTTAAACGAAGAAGCCAGGAAGAGAGCAGCTTTCCAAAGTTTTTTCCAACAGAATGCTGACAATTTGAAAACAAACAAACAAATAAAACAAGGTTCTGGATATAGCTTTCCTTTTCTTCGTGAACTACGCTTGATGTACCCTTTCCTGGTGAATTAAAATGAAAAACTGTGCATTGGTTCAGTTCCCACAGTCCCTCTCTATGGACAGCCAATGGGGCATACATACTAAGGCACTGATGCTTGGCAGCACGCAGAGAGTGTCAACAAGTTGACCACTAACTGGTATTGCAAACTGCTTTCAAAACAGGCTGATGGCTGAAGTGAAAGGCAACACCCTGGACAACTTGTTGGCTGATCTGTTTAACTATGTATATTTATCTTGTCTGGTTCAGTGGTTGCCCACAATAAGTAAAGAATCCAATCTGAGCGCATCTTCACCTATCTTCATCTCTCCATCTGTGACTTTTTATAGACTGCACACACTAGTGACGAGAGGATTCCCACAGCTCTGTTATTCACTTTTCCACTTTATGTCTTTACAGAAATGTTCAGGATAACTGCTGCTTACGATCGCTCTACATTGATTTTAAGAGGGACCTGGGCTGGAGGTGGATCCATGAGCCCAAAGGCTATGAGGCCAACTTTTGTGCAGGGGCCTGTCCATATCTGTGGAGTGCGGACACCCAGCATTCCAAGGTACTGAATGAGGAAGTTTGAAAGGCTACACAGTAAACGTAAACATGAATGCAGTTGCACTGCACTGTAAATCAGATTTTATTTTATGATATGGTTCTAATATGTATATTCCAGGTGTTAGGTCTGTATAACACCATCAACCCTGAAGCATCGGCATCCCCCTGCTGTGTCTCCCAAGACCTGGAGCCTCTCACTATCCTGTACTACATCGGCAAGACCCCCAAAATAGAACAGCTCTCAAATATGAAGGTCAAGTCCTGCAAGTGCAGCTAGAGGTCCTTAGAAAATAAATACTCTTCTTTCATCCAGAGTGGAGTGAGTTAACGTACCGTCAAAGTGCCGCTGCACTCATTTACTAGCAATCCTACAGCAGTCGTTTCACACAGGCATGGCCAGGAATGGTGTATTAGAGACTAAAAGGAACAAGTCAATGTGAGTTCAATGCATATTCAACATACAGGACCAGAGCAGTTATAATACCAAAAAGTTTAGTTCGATGCACTGTATGGACAAAAATGTTGGGCCTTCATGTAAATTCATGTGTGTTCAGTCTTGTTGCTACAGGTGTTAATAATCATGCACCGAGCCATGAAGTCTGCCTTTAAAAGATCTGTAAAAGAATTGGTCATTCTAAAGAGCTCGTTGACTGAGTATGGTACTACAATAAGATTTAAAGATTGCAACGAGTCATTTTGTTAAATTTTATTTCTCATAGATATGAAGTGATCAACTGTAAGCAGTTTTATCGCAAAGTGAAACAATATCTCATCCAGGAAGTGAAAGACCGTGTAAAGTTACAAAGGAGTTCTGAAGCATGTTGTACATAAAAGTCGCTAACGCTCTGTTGATTCAATAACTACAGAGTTAATTTATTATTTATACCAGAACTGCATACCAAAGCTGTCAGAAGCTTCATGTATAGGTAACCCAGTACTTTTGTTTATATAAGAAGAATTGTATTTCTGTATTGACACAGGTTTGCAAGTAAAATGAGCTTGTGTGCTGTTCTCCTAATAAATGGTCAAAGAAGAATAATACTTCTTAATAATATTTCTTAGTAAGGGTAATTTACACCATGAAGGCCTGCTCTCAAAAACTGATATAGATAAATCCAGCTACACAAACACTTAAAGTTTTTTAGAAAATGTTTAGTGCCATCTTGTGTCAGTACAGAACATTATGTCACCTCGTTGGTTTGTTGGTTGCTGTTAACAGACTTGGACTGAACCAACCAACTCAGGTGAAAATAAGGACACTAAAACTAACCCTAACCCTTTTCTACTCTCCCGGAATACTCAAAGCGCTCTATACAACACGCCACATTCACGACATTCACACAAGCACTGTCTTCTATGCTTTTAAGTGCTTACTAACTATGGTGGATGCATCAGAAAGTAAGTTAGGGTTAATATCTTGCCCAAGCATATTTGGCATGCAGACTGGGATCAAACCACTGACCTTCCGATCAGTAGATGCTCTACCTCCTGAGCTATAGCCACCCTACAGAGTAGGCAGCACTAAAGTGAACCCTTTAAATGAAATTTTAGTTTTAGCCTCCTCATATTCCACTGAGTTACTAGTTTGCTGAAATAAACGGAAGTCAAACAAACCAACCAACTCGGTGATGTAGCATTCTGTATCACAAGATGGTGCTAAACATGTTTAAAATAAGCACAAGTTTCTTAAATCCAGCTACAAGGAGTGTTAAATCCATATCAGTTTTTGAGAGCAGGGCTCCATGGTGTAAATTAGCCTTTGTCCACTTTAATCCATCAGAAAAATAAATAATGAATAGTTCACATAGTTTTTTTCCCTCACCAATATGCAATACTGAAATATTTTCCTCAATAACAAAATTATCAAGTCTAGTATTTACAGTTAATTTTATTATTGAGTCTTCGTCATTGACTTTTTAGGAGTCTTGTTAAAATCCAGTGGTGTTTTAGATCATAACAAACTTTCCACCAGTTATATTTTTGGTTCATTACATGAGGCTAGAGATTTGCTTGTTTGTTTGTTTTTTTAAATCATACACTTGCAGAGTTCTGAATTTTAAAAAACTGAAAAGTACTGTCATCTCCAATATCTTTTTGAAATGTTGTGGTGCTAAAGCGGCACATATTCAAAAAATCCAGGCCGGTATAGTTTTCAGTACCAAGTTATGTGAGAATACAGCAAACACTGGAAATGTAAGTGATATGTGTATATATGTGAAATAAGTCCTTGAAAAAACAGATCTACTCAGACCTACCTAACACTTTGCTTTCAACCACTTAGCCCTTCAGCAAATATCAAAGGCACAATACCACATCCTTATACATCATTATTTATTTTATTCCTTAAGAAGTATTCTTTAGTTTTGCATTTTCTGATTCTGTACAGTAAGACATTGCAGTAAGATGTCCTGCAACCTTGCAGTGTTGACATATATTATCTACTCCATTTTGTAGTTTATATAATACACACGCACAACTTTTGTTAAGCCGTCATGAGAGAGAATAAGATGTTGCATTAGAATTGTAAAGGCTATTTTGATTTATTATGGCAATAGTATTAATTTTATAGCTTCCCATTTATATTATAAAACACTTTTTTAAGGGGTAAGAAAAACAGTGTTGTATGTAATAACTTTTAATTGCTAAATTGGCATACTATGTTAACAGTTTTAAGCAGTAATAGAGCGATAGTCTCCTTCCAGAATTTCTTATGAAAATTATTAGTTTTGTTTGTTTGGATGAACTGGCAACTGGCCCTTTTAAATCGCCCAGTATAACAGATGCCATAACACGTTTAAGTAAAAAGCTTAGATTCTGAATCATTACAACCGCGAGTCTGCTGTCTGTGTTGTTTAAAAATGAAAATACATGTTTATTTATGATGTTCAGATTTCTGAAACAGAAAATTCTGTAAATGTGTAATGGCAATGAATAAAATGTGTTTTCATCATTAACAGGTTACTTGCTAAAATTAGTTTACAATGTGAGGTCACATCCTACGTATAATTGTGACAGTAATACTGTACGGTATTAGTGACAATAATACATACAGTAAAACTGTTGACAACAGAAATATTTCTGACTTTATGAATAACAACAATACTAATAATAATAATAATAGTAATAATTTTTAAATTATTATCATTATTATTATTATTATCATAGCAATTTTAAAGATATTATAATTCTTTGCATCAGTTCAGCAGTGTGTGAATGTGTGTGTGAATGGGTGAATGGCTTAATGTGTAAAGCGCTTTGGGGTTCTTAGGGACTAGTAAAGTGCTATACAAATACAGGCCATTTACCATTTACCATTCAGCAATTTGAGGTAGGTTGGGATAGAGAGAATATAAAACATGGATATTAATTAAATAAAATCAAATTCAAACAATCTTATTGAGCTGAGTACTGCACTTCAATGGAATGGGAAAATGGAAACAAATGTGAAAAAAAAAGGCCTGCTGCTCAGCTCAATGAAATATCCAGTTATTAGTGCTTAAAATTAGTTTGCAATTTTCACATTAAGATTGTTGAAATATGCAACCCTAAGCTCCACCACATTTTATGTTATAATGGGGAAAACTAAAGATTATCCAGAGGCCATCCAATTCATTTTCATTTACATAGCACCAAATAACAACAATAGTTGCCTGGTGGTGCTTTACATTGTAAGGTAAAGATGGTAAATGGACTGATTCTTATATAGCGCTTTTCTGCTCTCCCGGAGTACTCAAAGCAATCAATACAACATACCACTTTCACCTATTCACACAAGCACTGTCTTCTATGCTTTTAAGTGCTTACTAACTACCCTTCACACACATTCATACTCCAATGGATGCATCAGAGAGCAACTTGGGGTTAATATCCTGCCCAAGGATATTTGACATGCGGACTAGGGGGAGCCAGGGAACCACCAACCTGAGCCATCAACCTGTGGCTTTAGCTCAGCTCACAGGGGCAGATTTGAGCAGCGAGTTCAGGGTGAGGCGTCAGGGGAGGTTAGTTTTCGCAGCCGGCAAGCACCACCTAATAATTCCTTCCCTATTTCAGTAGCGGCTTGGCCAGACAGGAGAGAAGAGCTGCTGGAGCAGAGAGAGAGAGCACTGAGCACTGCAAAGTGCAGAAGCGCAAGAGTAAAAGTGCAAAACACTATACACAATAAAATATCGTGTGGAACACCATAATTAACCTTTTTGTGTCAAGAAGACACAAGCATTGGAGAAAAACTAGATAGATATGCTTCAAACTACTGTATTGCAGTACCGTTAATTCATGCTCTAATCCAGGGGTGTCAAATTCATTTTACATTGTGGGCCACATACACTTTGATCTTAAGCGGGCTGGATCAGTGAAACTCCCCTTTCTGTGAAGTTCCATATTTAACTGTTTTTCTACTATTAAAACCCAATTCTTTGATCCCCGTGATAGAACAGAGAAAACCTGACTCCTAGTGGTCAAAACATTTATAATTCTTTTTATTCAATCATGTTCCGGAAGAGAGAGCCCTGCACAGCCCCAAAAGCCAGTTGCAGAAACTCTAACATTAGAATCTAAGAACGTCTCACATATAGGTGTTATTTTGGTACTTTACACGTCACACAGTTTCGATACAAACACTCCTTATATGGTACAAGTTCCTCTTTTCTTTCTGGCTTCCTGTATTTATTAATATGCTTGTATAGCTCTACAGTAACTTCCTGTTTTTCAGTCTGGCTGAGCACTTGGTTGGTTCCGTTCGGTCTGGGGCTTCTAGGATTCTCGCCACCCCGGTCCGGAAATCTTCTCCTGTAGAGGATAGAAAACAAAACGCCTCTCTCTGCTACACCTCAATAATCTACTGTGTTCATCTATTGTTCCCTTAATTATTCAAAGTTGGTTCAAAATATCATGTTCTGGGCTCTATCCTTTATATTAACTTTACTTAATCTTTACTTAATCTTAATTTACTTAATCTCAATGTTCTTTATGTGTGTGAGCAACACTTCTAATTTTATTAAACCCACCCAGGGTAAGATATACACCATCACCATATCAGCATAAAAACAGACAGAGATGTTCCTCTTTCTGTCACATTCTTCCATAGCTGGCAATTTGTTTCACCTTGCAGATGGTTCCTGGGGACTTACAATTTCTTGACTCTTCTTCTGTCACTTGTTACTAGGCAAGCTCAACTGCAGTTAGACGCTAAATGAATTCCAGGCCCTCGGCCTGGCCTATGTTTAAATCATTTGTGTTTGTAAGCGTGTATGCGGTTTAACCTTCTATTGCTCCAAGTCACTTACACAATAGATCGTCGGGACATT